GCTTATCGAGATCCGGTCGCGAATTTCTCAAAGGACGGACGTCCCTTTTCTAGAACACCCTGTAGTGTCCCCGGGGCGACGACGGTGAATCATCCCGCGTCGAGCGACACACTTCGTGAGTCGAAGATAACCCGTTTTCTTAATCGCCGTGTACGCGTTTACTCGAGCGTGCGTTATCCTCGTGCACCGTGGCGGCGTGAACGGGAAAGGGAGAGAAAGAGAGAAAGAGAAAGAGAAAGAGAGAGAGAGAGAGAGAAAGAGAGGAAGGGAAAGAGAATGACGAGGAAGTGCGCGTGTGCTAGGGGAATTTCCAAGTTCACCAGGCACCTCCATCGATCTGCCGCTATCGGCGTTGTAGCGGCCGGCTATCAGCCGCCACCGCCGTCGTCGTTGCTGCTGCGGCTGCACTTTACGTGCCGCGGCGGCGTTCACTTTTATTCGAGGCTAACACCGCCAGGAACCACCACCGGCCGAGCTATCGACCCCTGAACTTGACCCCCATAGAAGCGAAAGCCTAAATCCCACGATTAGAGCCTCGTGCACAATCCGGCACATCCGCGAATTCTCGATGCTTTAGGCTGCTTTCCTTTTAGGAGACGCAATCGACATAAATGTCGTTCTATCTTTATATTCATTCAATGTCAAGGATAGAACGACGTGTGGTTGTGTCTGCTGTATGTGTGTCTTAAAAGGAAAGCCGCCTTAGACAAGCATCTACGACGAATTTGTAGGATATAATCTTGAATTAAAAAAAAATTTTCATTCCCCAAACGATTGTCCGTTCTCATCCCGGTCCAGAATTTCTCTTTCTCCCTCTGCTGCGCGCGCGTCTCGTATACTCGATTTTTGTTTGTTGTGAATTGTTGCGCAATAAACAAGGTACGCCCAGGTGTTGCCCGCGGCTGGTCGTATTGTTCGCGAATCCCTCGATCTCTCTCACGATGGATGCGTTTTTCCCCTTGCGGGAGGGGGGGGGCAACGGAAACAATGCGATCCCACCCATTTTCTTCTCTTTAAGGGGTTAGCGCGGCCCGCAATCGATTCTATTGATCTATCCCGAATAGTCTATCTTATCGAGGGTCGAAAGAACGGTTTCGTCCTTGCGAAATGCTGAGAAATAATTCGGTTCCTTATTACAATCTTATCGCCTCTCTCTGCATCACTCTTGAGTGCATCAACCTGAAGTCATCGCTGCGTAACGTCTGCCAGCGAATTTATCAAATACCGATTTTTTTCGAAATCTCCCCGGCGAAACGCAGAATGAAAATAAAAAATTTAAAGGAATTTATATGTTTCGCAAGAGTCTGTCCCAAAGTAATTGTTTCAAAAGAAAAACCATTGTAATGTTTATGATTCTATAAAAAAAAATAAAAAAAAGGAGAATATTTCAGGTAGAAAGGATATTATCGTTACACAGCGGGGAAGGGGAAAGACATCCTTTTCACCAAGAAACTATGAAATACTGCATTCTGTTGAATTAAATGGCATCATTGTAACTACGTTGCACGAAATTATATGTATATGTCAAATAGATTATTATCCTGGCCGTGTCGGGAAAATCAGAATTTTCTCCTATCTACGACGACCAGAGAAAAGCGAGACATTCGCAGTAGTTTTTTTCTCGCGAGGAAATGTTCTATAATCTTCGTGGAAAAAAAATCGTTTAGGATTCTTCTATACTCACCATGGTTCTGTCTGCGTGCGTGCGTGCGCGTTCGTCGGTAATCTACTTTAATCCAAATAACGCGCGTACGTAAAAATCGTCAGGCGACACTGAGGCGGAAAATCTCTTTCTCGTTTCTCTTTGTCGCGGTTTATAATCTCGCGACAACGATCATCCTACGAGCACGATCTTCTGTTTCTCTCAGTCGACGAGGGCTTCCGCGTGTCAACGGCCCGTGTGTACGTACGAGAATAACGCCACGATGAAGCGCACTGCGCGATCGGCGATGAACGAGTGACGTACTGCTCAACAGTGCTGAACGTAGCCGAGTAACTGACGCCAGCGCGCGAAACGCCGAACGCGTTCCCCTCCTAACTTCGCGTCTCGTTCGTCCTTGTCGCGCGGCCGGCGAGCGCGCGAACGTCCGTCCTCCTCGCGCTCCCATTGGTCCTGCAGGATCAAAAACTGCGACGACCTCTTATTCGAATCTGGAAGGATGAAACCCACAAGATGGCCATTTTCCTTGGGAAATTAAACGAACTCGGAGCTTTTTATTATTGAAAAGATGAAAAATATATCCACAATTATAATGCAACAATATGTTCTCACTTGCGATTTACGATCGTGTTTGCTGCGCATACAATTACGAATTACAAACATTTGTTTAATTCATTAAGTTAATCCACACACATACATTGCGGTTTGATCTCGATACGGAATGATAGTTAGGGTGCCGCGTTCAGCTCGTGAGGGCGTACGAACTCGTAATGTTTAATTCCGACGATTGGCCCTTCGAGGATTCCGTATAGCCACCCCTGCGCAACGTGCGCGCGCTTTAATATCAGCAACGCGTGTTTTTTTTCCCAATGAACGCATTTTGTCTGTCAAGAGTTCATAGAGAGAAACTTTTAGTATATATCGTATAGTTTATTCCTTGCATTAAAAGCAATTGCTTGAATCGTAGTGCCACGAGGGGTGATTAGCGAGATGCAGATTGTAAATTTAAATAAAATTAATTGTTTTATTCGGCGCAAAAAGTGCGCGAGCTTCAAAGTGACGAGCGCGCGCGCGCGGGCCGTATCGACCCTTCACCATTGGATGACGCATCCTCCAATGACCGACCGGCCCGGCGATTACGTCACTCCGGGGGTATATTATTGACGCCGGACGTATGCAACGGCGTCGCACTGCCGCGTTTCTCCGGGGGACATCCCTCCGTGTCTTACGACCCCTCGGGATCGTCCTGGGGGTTGCGTAATGATCGAGCACCCGGTGCGAGATCGCAGCAGGTTTAACCCTTTCGGGAGAAAACTTCCCTCTGGCGAGACTTTCCTGATATGGCGGAATTCTCTCTGGAAAAGATTAAACCCTGTCACAATTCGCAACATGTGTATGCCGCTTCGAAAATAGATTATTCTTTTGAGTTATAGTCTGACCTGGAATGAAGATGAATCCCACAGGGATGTAAGAAGAAAGAATGTAATTACGGATGTAAAGGAAGAAAGAAAACATGTGCATCTCGCATGACATTCATTTTTAAGATACAAAGAAAAGTGGACAGAAACTACCTTTTTTTTTTTTTTTTGTTAAACATTGATTTGGAATTCTTAAGTAATGCCATGTGACAAATAAAGCTATGCGATCTGCGAAGACGATTGTCTGTTTTAAGAGGCATACTCGATACGCTTGTACGAGATATAAAGATACAAAAATAAGAGTACAAAAGATACAAAAGAAAGAGTATATAAAAAAATATGTTTTTTCTTTTGATTTTAATTTCAAATTTTTAAATATGGGAAGAACGCAGAAAAGTTTATTAAAATATCTAAAGATTTAGATAAATACAGATCTGTGAAAATAATTTTATTAGTCATTAAAAAATAATTATGTAGTACACTCAAACTGGTTGCTAAAACGTCAAAACTTTTTGCAGCATTGCTTATTTAGCTTATTGTAACGCTTGAAAGTCTCACGTAACAATTATGAGAGTTCAACAAAATTCTTTCCAGATCTGTATTTGGCTAAATTTCTAGATATTTCAACAAATTGTTGTGAAGGGTATACGATCTGCAAAGACGATCGTCCGTTTCGAGAGGAACACGAGATTGTTACAGTAAAGTGGCGCAATACGTAATACGCATTGCCGTGTTTTGGCCTTCTCCGTTTCCTCACTCAATTTCAGGAATGTAATCTTTATATTCGACCGCCGAGCGTGCCACAAACAAACCGGGGCGTTCCGGCACGTCTCGTGTGTGTTATGAATTCTCCCGCGGAAGGGACAGATGTACGCCCTCCCATCTCCAAAATTAAAGCTGTCGACGAAAATTAACGTTGTACGACCGGAAATCCTTCTCCTGCCTGCTCCTGCCGAATCGATCGACATTTTATACGTTTCCGAAAACCGCGAATCGCGTCACGCCTATTAAAACCCACTCGTCCATCGAGTTTCAACCACCCCGAATTTGTCAAACAAGTCAAAGTCAATTTAAGCAACTTCGAGCAAACTCTGATTAACTTAACAATTAATTCAATGGGGATCAATTCAAGACTGAGAAAAAATTTATAGTAATATAGAATAGAATATCAAAATTTTTTGCGATATTGGTAGAACAATTATTATGTTTGGATTTCCGAACAAAATTATTTTTACACTTGTATCTAACTAAAATTTGTATACATAATTCAGCAAAATCCTTTCCATGGAGATAAAGCTCTGATCATCCGACCTGCAGATTTGACTCTCTTTGAAAAATCGGAAATGGTTCAAGAGGAACAGAATATCCATCGTGATTGATTTATTGTGTTGTTGTCTCGCGATCTCACAATACTCGACGCGAAACGATTTTATGTCTCGAAAAATTTATCAAGTATCCTCTATAAGATTCGTTACGCCACTGATTGGCAACCATTTAAACGATGAGTTCCGAAGAGTCAATTGTCACGCGAGATCATCACGATATCGATCTCACGCGTATTGTTCCAGTTTAATCGGTGTATACTTATAATTGTTAGTGACGGTAAACGGCACAGATTGAAAATGATGACGGATCAGTCTTTAGGACATTAACCGGTGGGGGTGGGAGGGGGGCGGCCCTTCAAATTAACGCGGCGTGTTGTCGGACTTCCGTTGTGGCAAATTGGTGAACGTTCTCCGACGACTTACGAAAGATTGACTAAAGGGAGAGTGACGTCATCGACTTGGAATTCGAATCCCTGAAGTCCTCAAGTGTGGCGATCGTCCTCGACTCTCTCTCTCTCTCTCTCTGTCTTTTACTTTCTACCGTTAATCATTCGCGCGCACAGATCGACATTAATTTCGAATTCATTGATTTTCTAGAAAAAAACGTAATTGCCTGCGCGAGAAACGATGGGAAAGGTATATATTCTTCCGACTGGCTGGAAACTGGGCTCGAATTCCTACGTCAGAAAAGATGTATTAAAATAATCTTAATATTTTAATATATTTTTTTATCTTATTTCACCCTAATATATAATATCTTTGTAGACATCATAAAGTAATATGAAATTACATTTATCATACGAAAAGGACGACTTTGCTAAATTATTTAAAAATTTAATTAGATACAGATCGAAAAATAATTTTGTCGGAGTATCAATATAATAATATTCCTCCTGTGAAGAGGAAAGGAAGAAAGATGAACTGGTGCAAAAGTTCAGCTAAAAAGAACAGGCCTTATGTAAGACTGGTTGCTCAAACTGGTTGCTAAAATGTCAGAACCTTTTGCAGCATTACTCATCATGCTTGAGATTCCTACAATAATTTTAATGGTCCGGCAAAATCATGTTCAGATCTGTATTTAGTTAAATTTTTAGATGCTTCAACAAAATCTTTTCACGAACGATTAGATGAGTGGACTTTTACGCTTCGCTATCAATAACAACATCATTAATTCTTACTATCATATGTTATCTGTTTTCCCACTGCGGCTGTAATTTAATATCTGCTTACATTTCCTCTTGAAGAGTTCTCGGATTATTTTAATTATTTTAATTACGAAATATGGTTTATTTTTCTTCTGATATAACCGGATTCAATTTTTTTTCCGCCTAGATAAACTGATGCCGTTCTCATTGACAGGACTCGAGGCGTTGGAGAAGGCTCTTTATTGCTGGGAAGACGCGCTCACCGCGTTCAGCTCGACTCTTGGCAACGACACCCTGGCTCTGCCGTCGAAAGCCGACGCGGCGTTCACCCACGATGTGCAGGAGCTGCTCGACATGGGCTACCAGATCCAAAGCCACGCGGAATTGCTTTTCCTCGATCAAGTACGGTATCTCTCTCTTCTATCCATCAATCCGCAAAACTAATCCGCTGACTCAGCGTGACCACGAGATCCGATTTTCGATCTGGAAAGACCACCGCCCGTCTTTCGCGGGTAGACGAAGTACGGAATGGACGATCATTCCATTCCGTTGCATTCATCATCAATTGCCCTTCTACCGGTCCGGTAAAAAAATGCGGGAAATTAATCCAATTTAAATGACGACCGCCCCGGGGGTAATTAGCGCAACGAGTCACTTGACCTGACGCCAGCCACCGGGAATTGTTGCGGAACGTTAATGGCATAGGAAGTGAATGACTTTCTCCGAAAGCAATCTGAGTTTTCGAAACGCAATACATCGAGAATTGGGCGGATTCATTATCGCTAGAGCTACGATCTATCCATATCGCCGACACATTCTGACCTTTGTCTACTTACTTTATCTTCTTTTTTTCTGCAGCACTCCGTTTTATTCCGCAACGACAGCGAGGAGAGTCTCGACAAACCTTCAAACTTCGGTACACGGCTATTTGGTTTCAGGGATAAAGCTGACGCCGCATCGTCGCCCGAATCGTTCGAATCTGCACGTGACGGGGTGAGTTATATGCACGAGACAGATAAATATAATCTGTCCGTATCCCGCGACAGATTAAACGGATGTGTTGAGTGGCTGTGGGACGTTAATATAATTCGAAGACGTGCAACACTCTCGAAAAATGATCAATTATTTTATATCTAATAATATCTATGTCATGTATTTGTTTTCGTAATTATGATCTGTTTCTGATAATTCTCTTGATATGAAAACGATAAATTAGCTTCTCATTAAATTATTTCAGGTTGCAGATTTGCGTGAATTCGAAGAATTTTCAGAACTATTTCCACACTTTGAGAAGCAAAAGCTTTATCATGCTGCTCTTAAACAGTACGAAGATAAAGGCATTCCTTGCAGGTAAATTGGTTTAGTTTATATTTGCATCTCTATACGTATGATTATAATATATAATCACATGTTACAGGAGACTACACACGGAACTCGTAAAGTGCGGATCAGATGTGGAATACTTAGCGAAAGTATACTGCCTGCGTCAAGCCTATACGAAATTATTTAATTTACCTACGGCAACGACATATATAGTTGACGTAGGTCGTCAAGTCATTAGCGATTTAATTATGTACGCGGATAGGGTAAGAATATTAATCGAATAAATAAACATAATGTAAGTATCGCTTGTGTGACATTAAAGGAAGAAATTTCTATATTACAGGATCCTAAGGATTACTTAATGTATTATGAGCGTATGATGGAGTTTCTACAAGAGCCACACAATCATAGTATCATGGAGGAAGAATTGACCGCCCGAGGTGTCAAGTGCATGAACTTTTATGACGTGCTTATTGATTTCATACTCTTAGACGCGTTCGAAGATATGGAGAAACCACCATCGTCCGTCAAAGCTATAATTCAAAATAGATGGGTGTCCGCCAGTTTCAGAGAAACTGTATGTACATGAATCTAAATGTTCTATTGCATTTTTTATTTATGTAATCGTCGATTATCTTTAAAGGCGATAGGAACGACTCTCTGGTCCGTCCTGGCAGGCAAGCGAAAGATGCTGAAATACGATCAAGGCTTCTTGGCGCACTTCTACTCTATCTCCGAACAAATCTCGCCGATGTTTATTTGGGGATTCTTGGGTTCCGAAGAGAGCCTACGTTCTACTTGTCAATATTTTAAGGAACAAGTAATCGAGTTTCTTGTAGATATATTTAATTTCTTCAAGGTACGGTACACCACGGTCGATGACCTTGCCGTGGATATTCTCAGGGAAATGAAGCTAAGAGTCGACAATATAAATCAAAGGCTATCGTTAGAAGGTTGCTAGCCAAATTAAATATGTTTAGGCAACAATTTCAATGCAATTGAATGCGCTTGATATTACAAATTACATTGCATATACTGCGTTCAATTTATGTTGTAAAATAAAATGTTAATATCAATATTAATGCAGAAATTAAGGCAGATATGATAAGTTGATAAAAGATGCAGTACACCATTGCACGTTTTAATTTTCATTACCGCGCCCATAATAAGTAATTGTAGTAAGCAATCTGTGAAATTATCTTACGAAATAGTATCACAGAGTGACATTGCGCACCCTTCCTGTTAGCACCAATTAGAATCACGCATATGTCGAGTTTTATCTAACATTTGAATATATAAAAGTTATATCAATTTTGAAGAAAACATTTAACAGACTCTAATGTCCAGTTCCATGAATATAGAAAATATAAAAAAAATTAATAAAAATATTCACGATAAATTTTACATAAATGGATATCAAATTTATAGATACTTTATTTATAAAATTTGAGAAATTAATACATTACGCACACTTAGAATGAAACGTATGATATTTATTTTTTGACAGAACGAATAAACGTCGCTATCAGTCATTGTGATACAAATTTTGTAGATATTCTGTAAATCATTTTGCAAGATTTGCAAGACATGTAAAACATTGCAACCTGTTAATATTTATCAATGTGTAACACAATCGTATTTTTTATTTTATTTTATAAAGATTTCCTTTTTAATATCTTCGCATAGATTGTAAAATGATACCTCGGTGATATCTTCTGTATTATTTAAAGGATTACGATGTATTTTAGTAAAATTAAATTTTATAATTATATAGTTATGATTTATGTGATAAAACTTAGAAGCATTTAAGTGTAATCATGTAATATAACGTCGTTCTTAGCAGATATAAATAAAATAATATACATTTTCTTACAGTAGTAAAAAAAAAGATCATTTCTAAGTTTTATGAACAAATTCTCCCATTGTGTTTTAACTTTACTAGATAATTAGTTTTATTAAAATATTCAATTCGTCTAAAAAAACTTAGTATTTTTATCATTATTTTATACAAGTTACCATCACATGAAAATATTTGTAGCTAAATTACAAATTATACATCATGCAGTTAAATAGCAATCCAAAATTAATGCATTTCCAAAGATACATTTATAAAATGTACTTGTATGAATAATTATTATAAGTCGTACGCCAATCAGTTTAATAACATTCCGAACATAAGGTATACGTATGATAGTACAGTATATTATATAAGTACACATATATAGGGTGTTTTATAAATGTATACTTTAAGAAGTAAATTTATACACTAAAATAAATAAAAAACATCATATATTCATATGTCTTACATATTTTAGCATTCAAGTTATGGATGATTAAGAAAATGTTCAAAATGCTCGTTTTGTGCTTCAACACACGTTACTGTACATTTTAGCACATTTCGACATTATCTAACATTTATAAACAATATCCATTAATCGGACAGAATTTCAAACAGTCGATATTTTATGTTCTAGTTACTGTTCTAAATACTGTTCTAAAAGCGGCAAAATGGTAATGTACACTTATGCTGAAATGGTCGGCATGCATTTGATGTACCTAAGATCGGTCATGCACGATGGTACTCTGTCTCATTTTCATCTTGAAGTGAGAACATTCCTAAACAATGCATTCGCAAATCGATACATAGGGTGAAGCGGACCTACCTCACAACGATCTCCTCTGATTTCAATTCATTAGATTTTTATTTTTGGGGACATTTAATATCTATTATGTATTCAACACCAGTAAATAATGTGGATGTTCTGCGAGAAAGGTTACGAAATGGATTTGAGACTATTCGAACAATATCTAATATTTTTGAACGATTGCGGGACTCATGCTAAGGCGTGAAGTAGCGTGTATTGATGCACGAAGCGAATACTTCAAATATTTTCATTAATCGTCCATAACTTGAAAACTAAGGTATGTAAGATATATGTTCATATGTTCTTACTTATTTTAGTTATTATATATTTACCTCCTAAAATATTGACATGTATTTATGAAACACTCTGTACACAGGGAATGGAAGTAACTCGTTATTTGTAATGAAGTTACAAATTACTTTTTTAGTAATTTTATTGATAACTGTTATTTTTTTTTGGTAATTGTAACGGTAACGCAGTTAATTTTTTTGATAACGGTAACAAATTTTAGTTACTTTTATCATTATTTTATATACGATTGTACACGGTTTGATTGGATACAAACCACTCATAGCGCTTGAGACTAAAAAATCCTTAGGCCGCTATGATTAATGGTTGTCTATTTTAAAAAAGTAACGAAAAAGTATTGAAGAATTACTTTCTCAAGTAACGATAACTGTAATAAGTTACTTTTTCTACTCTGTAACTGTAACTTGTTACTTTTAAAAGTAACTTTCCATTCCCTGCATATATATAGTATATATTATATAGAATGTATCATATAAGAATATACACTGTTAAAAACTTCATGAAATTTAATATATACTTTTACACAATTTTAATTTAATTTTAATTTCATGACATTACATTAAATTTAATGTATTTTTAATGAAAATTTATTAAATTTAATGTATACGTTCATTACATTTAAGTAACTACTCTAACTTAATTTTCAGTTAAATTATTTATTACTTTTAATTTCGTTCATAACCATGAGCTTCATTTACATGTAAAGGAAGCTCGTGCTTGCATTTTTAACAGCATAGTATTGATTATTGATGAATGATGAAAATACATTTAATTATTTTTACTGGAAAGAAGTATATGTGATGATAAATGTATTAATTTCATGACATTTGATACAATTTTGTAAATGATAATCCTTAAATATTTATTTTGTAAATAATTTAATTATTATACGTGAAATATTATCTTATTCAACAAAATATTATATTTGAACAAAGGTATCATTTTAATTATGGAAATAAAACTACGGACATAAACAAGATATAAAACATCACATAAAAATTATACTTACTTTAAATTATACCTTATTATTTCAGTCATTATAATCAACATCAAGAAGTTTAATCACTAAATTGCTGGATAGTTTTTAGGTT